GTAGACCAGTAACTGGTAAGGAGATTGAAGCAGTGATTAAAAACCTCCCAAAAAACAGAGGTCTGGACCTGATGAATTCCCTAGGGATTTCTACCAAACATTCAAAGAAGAAATAATACCAGTTCTCCTGAAGCTGTTTCAAAAAATAGAAACAGAAGGAAATCTTCCAGACTCTTTCTCTGAGGCCAACATTACCTTGACCCGCAAACCAGGCAAAGACTCCATCAAAAAAGAGAATATAGGCAGTAACCTCTTCGATATCAGCCACAGCAACTTCTTTCAAGATATGTCTCCAAAGGCAAAGGAAACAAAAGCGAAAATGAACTTTTGGGACTTCATCAAGATCAAAAGCTTCTGCACAGCAAAGGAAACAGTCAACAAAACAAAGAGGCAACCCACGGAATGGGAGAAAATATTTGCAAATGACAGTACAGACAAAAGGTTGATAATCCAGGATCTATAAAGAACTCCTCAAACTCAACACACACAAAACAGACAATCATATCAAAAAATGGGCAGAAGATATGAACAGACACTTCTCCAATGAAGACATACAAATGGCTATCAGACACATGAAAAAATGTTCATCATCACTAGCCATCAGGGAGATTCAAATTAAAACCACATTGAGATACCACCTTACACCACTTAGAATGGCCAGAATTAGCAAGACAGGAAACAACATGTGTTGGAGGGGATGTGGAGAAAGGGGAACCCTTTTACACTGTTGGTGGGAATGCAAGTTGGTGCAGCCACTTTGCAGAACAGTGTGGAGATTCCTCAAGAAATTAAAAATAGAACTTTCCTATGACCTTGCAATTGCACTACTAGGTATTTACCCCAAAGATACAGATGTGAAAAGAAGGGCCATCTGTACCCCAATGTTTATAGCAGCAATGGCCACGGTCGCCAAACTGTGGAAAGAACCAAGATGCTCTTCAACAGACGAATAGTTAAGGAAGATGTGGTCCATATACACTATGGAGTATTATGCCTCCATCAGAAAGGATGAATACCCAACTTTTGTAGCAACATGGACGGGACTGGAAGAGATTATGCTGAGTGAAATAAGTCAAGCAGAGAGAGTCAATTATCATATGGTTTCACTTATTTGTGGAGCATAACAAATAGCATGGAGGACATAGGGAGATGGAGAGGAGAAGGGAGTTGAGGGAAATTGGAAGGGGAGGTGAACTATGAGAGACTATGGACTCTGAAAAACAATCTGAGTGTTTTGAAGGGAAGGGGGGTTGGAAGGTTGGGGTACCAGGTGGTGGGTATTGGAGAGGGCATGGATTGCATGGAGCACTGGGTGTGGTGCAAAAACAACGAATACTGTTACACTGAAAATAAATTTAAAAAATTAAAAAAAAAAGAATTTCAGATCAAGATCCCTGATGAAGATGGGTGCCAAAATTCTCAACAAGATCCTAGCTAATAGGATCCAACAGTGCATTAAAAGTACAGTACTTTTAAAGTACATTAAAGTACATTAAAAGGATTATTCATCACCACCAGGTGGGATATATCCCTGGGATGCAAGGGTGGTTCAACAAATCAATGAATGTAATAGAACTCATAAATAAGAGAAGAACCACATGGTCCTCTCGATTGATACAGAAAAAGCATTTGATAATATACAGCATCCTTTCCTGATTAAAACTCTTCAAAGTATAGGGATAGAGGGAACATTCCTCAACTTCATAAAATCCATCTATGAAAAACCCGCAGCGAGTTTTGAGATTATTGAGATCAGGAACATGACAAGGATGCCCACTCTTGCCACTGTTGTTCAGTATAGTACTAGAAGTCCTAGAAATGGCAATCAGACAACAAAAAGAAATAAAAGGTATTCAATTTGGCAAAGAAGTCAATCTCTCTTCACAGATGACATGATACTCTATGTGGAAAACCCAAAATTCTCCATCCCCAAATACTAGAACTCATGCAACAATTCATAATGTGGCAGGATATAAAATCAATGCACAGAAATCAGTTGCTTTCTTATACGTGAACAATGAAACTATAGAAAGAGAAATTAGAAAATTGATTCCATTTACAATAGCACCAAAATCCATAAGATGCCTTGGAATAAACCTAACCAAAGAGGTAAAGGATCTAAGAACTACAAAACACTCATGAAAGAACTACAAAACTACAAAACACTCATGAAAGAAATTGAAGACACAAAAAATGGAAAAACATCCATGCTCATGGATCAGAAGAGTAAACATTGTTAAAACATCTATGCCAGGGGCACCTGAGTGGCTCAGCAGGTTAAACCCTCTGCCTTCGGCTCAGGTCATGATCCCAGGGTTCTGGGATCGAGCCCCACATCGGGCTCTCTGCTCAGCGGGGAGCCTGCTTCCCTCCTCTCTCTCTGCCTGCCTCTCTACTTGTGATCTCTCTCTGTCAAATAAATAAATTAAAAAAAAAAACAAAAAAACATCTATGCTATCCAGATCAATCTATACTTTACAAGTCATACCAATCCCAATGGCACTTTTGAAAATGCTAGAACAATCATAAAATTTTGTATTTAACTAGAAAAGACCCCAAATCACCAACAAAATGTTGAAAAAGAAAAAGCTGGGGGCATCATGTTACCTGATTTCAAGCTATATTACAAAGCTGTGATCACCAAGACAGCATGGTACTAGCAAAATAAAAACAGATACATAGACCTGTGGAACAGAATAGAGAGCCCAGATAACGGACTCAACTCTGTGGTCAACTAATCTTCAACAAAGCAGGAAAAATACCCAGTGGAAGGAAGACAGTCTGTGAAAAAGAGTTTTCTTTAAAAATACTGCTGTTCATTGATAATATACTTGGTCACCCAAGAATTCACATGGAGATGTACAGCAAAATGAATGTTGTTTTTATGCCTGTTAATACAACATCCATTTTGCAGTCCATGGATCAAGGGATGATTTTGACTACCAACTATTACTATTATTTAAGAAATACATTTTGTAAGGCTAATAGCTGCCACAGATAGTGATTCCTCTGATGGACCTGAGCAAAGTAAATTGAAAACCTTCTTGAAGGATTCAACTTTCAGAATGTCGTGAAGAACATCTGTGATTCATGGGAAGAGGTCAAAATATCAGCATGAACAGGAGTTTGGAAGAAGTGGATTCCAACCCTCATGGATGACTCTGTAAGTGTTTCAAGACTTGAGGGAGTAAATGCAGACATGGTGGAAATTGCAAGAGAACTAGGATTAGAAGTAAAGCTTGAGGATGTGACTGAATTGCTGTAGTCTTATGGTAAAACTTGAATGGATGAGCAATTACTTCTCATGGATGAGCAAAGAAAGTGGTTTCTTGAGATGGATTTCACTGCTGAAGATGCTGTGAAGATGGATGAAATGACACAAAAAGGATTTAGAATATTACATAACTTAGTTGGTAAAGCAGTAGCAGGGTTTGAGAAGATTGGCTCCAGTTTTCATAGAAGTTTTACTGTGAATGAAATACTGTCAAACAGCATCACATGCTACAGAGAAATCATTCATGAAAGGAAGAGTCAATCAATGCAGCAGACTTCCTTGTAGTCTTATTTTAAGAAATTGCCATGGCCACCCCAGCCTTCAGCAACCACCACCTTGATGAGTCAGCATCTATCAACACTAAGGCAAGACTTTTCACTGGCAAAAACATTATGATTCACTGAAAGCTCAGATGAGGGTTAAAATTTTCAGCAATGAAGTATTTTTGAATTAAGGTATATACATTGTTTTTAAAGATGTAATATAATTATACACTTAATTAACTACAGTATGGTATAACCATAACTTTTATAGGCACTGGGAAAGCCAAAATTTCATCGACTTGCTTTGTTGTAATAATGCCTTTATTGTGGTGATCTGGAACTGAACCTATGTCTGAGGTGTGCCTGTACTTTTTCTTTTTTGTAATGTCCTTGTTGAGTTGGGGCATGAATGTTTTGTTGGCTATGTAAAACAAGTCAGAATGTGTTCCCTCTTTTTCTTTTCTCTCAAAGAGTTTGTTAAGGATTGGAAATATTTATTCCTTAAATGTTTGGTAAATTAGCCATTGAGGTATTTTATGATAAAGTTTGATTATGGATTCAATTACTTTAATAGATAATGGAAAAGAGGTAACTAAACACTCTTTAGTACTGTTCTCACAGTACATATGTAGAAAAACTATACATTTAAAGGAGAAAAACTTGGGTGCCTGAGTGGCTCCGTGGGTTAAGCCTCTGCCTTCAGCTCAGGTCATGGTCTCAGGGTCCTGGGATCCAGGCCTGCATCAGGCTCTCTGCTCAGCAGCCAGCTTCCTCCCCACCCTCTGCTTGCTTCTCTGCCTACTTGTGATCTTTCTCTCTCTGTCAAATAAATAAATAAATAAATAAATAAATAAAATCTTTAAACAAATAAAGGAGAAACCTTAGTTGTGTTTTCTTGGTCTCAATGTTTTTTTTTCTTTGTGAATTGTATAGTGTTCTGGCAGGCAAATTTCTGTTCCCCTTTGTTCAACAAATATTTATTGGATGCCTATTGTGTGCCAAACATTTTGCAAGGTAGTAAGGATATAATCATAAACATTGTCCTTGATATCATGAATGTTATAGTCTGTTGCAGAAGACATAGAAAAGGCAATTATAGAATACTGTTTACTTGTGAATGTATTGAGCCATATAGAAAAGTAGTGAATATTTGTAATAGCCATTGTTGAAGCAGGGTGAGAGGTGCTAAGCAATGTTAAGGGCCCAGCTGAGGCTAGAGATGGTAAATTAGTAAAGGCATCAGACCACATAGCTGAGTAATTTTTTTCCCAGCCATGCTGTCCAGCAAAGACTTACACACAGAGATGGTTAAGTGATTGGATCCATTCCATGTTGAAGATTTGCAAGACAGTAAAAGGATGAGGAAATGAAGTCCCGTTGTTGGGACACACATGTAATTCCCCAAAACAGTTCTGATTCAGTCCTAGTGCCTAGAAGTCAGGAGATTCTTTCTGTTTCCCCAGGTCCTGGTTCTGCTAGTGATTGTGACAGTCTCATTTTTTTTGTGGATATTATTCACATACTGGAGGGACAGGTGGCTGACTACTGGGCTGTCACTGCAGGTAAGCATCATCCTATAGGTCTAGCGCTGTCTGTCTAGATGTGTCAGCCTAACTTTTGGCTTTCTCCCAGATCTTTGCTCCCTATGTGCACCTGAGTGGCATAAGTATGATGGTTATCCTTTCCTGGCCTGTGGGCTTCTACTTAATCCATTTGGAAGAAGAAGGTATGTCATGTGGTAGAACCTTACCTGTTTATTTCAGCTCTAACTTTAGCTTGTATTCTTCACTTAGCAAAATGCAAGTTTAGTAGATAGCCACCACTATACCGCTTCAAAATTCATTTAGCTTATTATTCTTACATGCTCTTTGCGGTCGAACTCACAACTATATGTGGCCTGTCGCAGCAATTTCCTAGCCAAACAAGTCTCCTTCTGAAAAGGGATTCTTCTAGAAAAATAAGAATTTTCTCTATGTTGTTACAGATTTTCTGGGAATGGTGGGGCGAGAATAGAGGTACATTTTAATTTTATTTGACTGAAGTGATTGCACAAGTCACAGTTCCTTAGTTTGTATCAAATATTACTAGTGTCAACTAACAAACTTATGATGGGTCCAGATATCCCTCGTTCCATCCTAGTAATTCAAAGCAGTCTTCTGTGACTCCCTGACTCAAAGCAGAAGCAGAAAATGTCTACTACTGCCACTGATCTCTCCATTCCTAATATGGAAACAAAAGAATCAGAGCTGTATACCAAAAGAATCCGAGAATCAGAGCTGTATACCAAATTGTTCTGAGAATAAAGTTATCTTGTAGCACCTTCACTAAAAAAGCAGGGTCTCCCTTTCTTTACCGTCTCTCTTTTTACTCTTGGTTAAATAAGGAGTATTTCCTTCCTGAATTGTGGAAGGATGCAGGCAAAAGAAAGACTGGATAGATACTTTTGCCATTGTGTGCTTGTACATGTGTGTACGTGTAAGTAGAGGTGAATTTTAGGCAGGGGCAGGATCTTAAAGGGGATAATAATGAACTCTTTTTCATTTCCTAAATTTTAGCTAGAATCAGAAGATACAAGATGGCAAATTATGACAGAGAAAAAACCAAGAGATGTAATATACTCACAAAGTTGAGAGGTTAGAGCTGGAGATCTAGATTTGCAAGTGATTGGACCATAAGTGGTAACTTAAAAATATGCAAGTGGGTAAAATTCTCAGAGGTCTAAAATAGTGTTGGGGGAATGACCAGTGATAACAGATACTGTGATAGGCTGTTGGGTGGATGTGTAGGAAAGAGAGAACGAGAAGAGCAAATACCTAGTATTTATTGATGACCTATTATGACTCATCACTGTTGATATATCCATTCTCTGAGGTAGGTTTTAGTAGAAAGATAGCTCCTTTTTTCAGAATGAAGACTCAGAGAGGTTAAGCAACATGTCCTTAGTCACACAACTAGAAAGTGGTAGACTATGGCTTTGAACTAAGATTTCTGTCAACTAGTGCTCCTTCCACTATTTTGCAGTGTCTTAAATACAGGCATTTTAGGCTTATCTTTACAGGCTTTCTCAGAACCTGCCAAACTGCTCTTCCTCTTGCGAAGGTATTCCTTAACATTTTCTCTCCATCCTACCTCCTTCACAGTTCATTTCCTTTTAAATTCCAGTGATTTTTTCCTTAATAGTAATACTTGTATTTGGATAGCCCTATTCTTTAAAAGTCACTGAAATTAAGTGAGGACGTGACAGAAATAGTAAATCAGCCAGTCCATAGAATCAATGAAACTGATAGACTGGGTAGTAACTGACAGCTGCTGGGATAGTTAGTTGCTTGAGATGGTTCTCCATTCCACTTCTGCTTTGTTCTCACTTCTTTCTCTCCCAACTTTTTTTTTTTTTTTTTTAGCTCTACAGGTGGTTATTGGATTGCCTTTTTTCCTTATCCTTTTATGTCTCTATGTTATTCCATTGGGGATTCATTCTCCCTGCATTCAGGAGGAGGGTAAATTAGGACCCAAGCCAGACTTCATTGGACATAGAGGTGCACCCATGGTAGGTCTGAGCATGGGTGAGTAGGCATATACATGGGGTGTGTGGATGAGAGAATGGGACCTCAGAACCATGGTAACCCCTGGAAAGGAAAAGGGTTTGGCTGGAAATGACAAGAATGAAGAGTTAATTGTAGAGGTTGGATTTGAACCCAAGTCACCTAACTTATCTTTCTGTACTGTGCCCAGTCACATTACCTCAGATGAGCAGAGTCCCAGAATCAGTTTGGGTAGAGGAGAATATAAGCAGGCTCTTCGAAAAATAGCTTTTTTTTTTTTTCCCCAAAGAGCCAAGGGATCCAAACTCGTCTCCCTAAAGCCCTTTGTTGCTGGGCTCCCTCCCAGCCATTAAAGGGATGGTGGCAGGGAGAGAGACTCTGAGGAATAGCAGCTGATGTTTTTTTCTTCCACAGTTGGGGCCTGAGAATACCATGATGTCCTTTGAGAAAGCTGTTGAACAAGGGGCCTGGGGGCTGGAGAGTGATGTACAATTAAGGTAGGAAAGCAGGGGCTGGAATGGGGAGGAGATAAGACCAATGCCATGGAAGATGACCAGTATGATCCAACTTATAGAGAGGGCAAGCCCCGGGAAGTTTCTCCTGTATTTGTATGGCACATATGCACAGAGCACATACACAGACCACTTCTTTGCAAACCATACATCTGTACCCCTGCATTCTCAAACATAGTCTCATAAATAATACACACACTATATAGTTTCCATACATAATTCAAATTTGTGCTCATTGCGAACCATGCTGACATTTTAACCCCATGCACTACCCTAGCAATCTACTTTAAATTCCCTGGGTACCTACTATATTCTAGGCCTTTTTGTGGGTGCTAGAGAGAGGCAAAAAGATGTAGCCCTGCCTAATAGATGTTCCTAGCCAGTGAAGGAGAAACAGCATGTTTATAAACAGAGTATAAAACGATTTGTGGTGAGTTCCTTCCAGAGAAGAATAAGTCAAATGCAGTAGAACATCAGTGGAGGAAAAGACCACTGCCCATTGTGTAAAAAAGATCTGTGTCCTCAGAATTGTGTTTATGTTGTCTTGAGGAAAAAATATTATTTTACCAATCAAAGGTGAATAAAGAAGGTATTCTATGGAGAGGCAACAGTCAGCAAGCTAACCTGTATGGATTCCTTAAGTGATATGCTTTGGGGATAGGAGAAGGCTATGTGAGGAAGAGGTATGGCTGTAGGGCCCGCTGAAGCTGTATCATAGAGATCCCTAAATGTGTAATGGGCTGCTTTGGTAGACTGTAGAGGACATATTACCTCATTGTTTTAGAAAGACTCATCGGGACATGTATGAGAGAGAATTGTCAGGGAGATGGGTGGTAGGCTGTAGCATTGTCCAAGGGAAAACAAAAGAAGACTTGGATCAGGGAAGTGGTGAGGACGAAATGACATGCTTTGCTGTAGAATCTTTGTATCTGAGCAGCTGGACGTGGAAAGGTTTCATCTGTAGTATGGGTATATTAGAGAATGTGGTTTGTACAGACTGCCTTTACAGCCCTTCTAAGGGAGAAACAAAAGAGAAATGAACCTTCTATTTCAAAGATGAGGAAATATGTTTTGAACCTAGATTCAAATAAGGGCAATATATTACTGAAGTCCTAAGGCTGGAATGAGCATAATAAATCCAGAATTAGAGCTAGATTTCCTGACCCCTGAGTGGAGTTCTTGATGGTATCCAACAGTGACAACTGTTTCATGCAGAATGTTTGACTGAGAATTGAAAATGGGTAGTTTATTAGAGCTCCTGGGTCATTTATTGAAATGTCTCATGGTCATGACATAATGTGGTAAAGGTGCTGAGTTGGTGAGGTCCTGGTGTACTGTCTTTCTCTCTCCTGTTACCTCTGTGACTTCAACTTTAACGTAGGTGATCCTTCCAACCCCTCAGTCTCTTTGCTCATTGTTCCTGCACCATTCACATTCATGGTCATACCCTATGCTTTATCATTACCAAAAATTGCATATCAGCCAGAGTCCAGTCAGGACCTGAATACCACACCAGTAACTTGAACAGGAAAAATGCAGTATCAAGAATTACTAAGTATGGGGCGCCTGGGTGGCTCAGTGGGTTAAAGCCTCTGCCTTCAGCTCAGATCATGATCCCAGGGTCCTGGGATCGAGCCCTGCATCGGGCTCTCTGCTCAGCAGGGAGCCTGCTTCCCCCTCTCTCTCTGCCTGCCTCTCTGCCTACTAGTGATCTCTGTCTGTCAAATAAATAAAATCTTTAAAAAAAAAGTTAAAAAAAGAATTACTAAGTATAAGTATTAAAATGTGGTTAACTACCAAAAGAGGGAAGAGGATTCTGGGAAATATAAAAATATCAAGTACAGCTACTGGAACTTCTGTTCCAGATGAAATAGAGTAAGCACATTCCACCTTATTTTTTCCAAGAATTACAAAATACAACAACAACAAATGGACAAAAATCACATACTTAAAAGTGCATGAGAATATGAGATGTAGGGGCGCCTGGGAGGCTTAGTCATTAAGCATCTGCCTTCAGCTCAGGTCATGATCCCAGGGTCCCAGGAGTAAGCCCCACATTGGGCTCCCTGCTCAGCGGGGAACCTGCTCCTTCTCCCACTCCCCTTGCCTGTGTTCTCTCTCTCTCTGTGTCTCTCTCTCTCAAATAAATAAAAAGATCTTTAGAAAAAAAAAAAAAAACAAATAAGAGATACCTGGCTTTCCTAACACACAGACACAGAGAGCTAGGCAAAATGAGGAGACAGAGGAATACGTCACAAGTGAAAGAACAGGACAAAATCACAGGAAGAGAACTAAAATGTAAGTAACATGCCTGAGAGACAATTTAAAGTAATGATCAAAAAGATACTCACTGGACTTCAGAAAAGAGTGGAAGGCATCAGTGAGACCCTTAAGACAGAGATAGAAAAAGCAGCATTCGGAATTGAAGAACAGAATGAATAAAAATACACTTGATGAAATAAATAGCAGGCTGAAAGAAGCGGAGGAACAATTTAATGAACTGGAAGACAGAGGAATGGAAAGCAATCAAACTGAACAAATGAGGAAAGAAGAATTATGAAAATGAGAATAAGTTTAGGGAACTCAGTGACTCCATCAAGCATAATAATATTCACATTATATAGGGTTCCCAAAAGAAGAAGAGAGAGAAAAGGGGGCAAAAAATTTATTTGAAGAATTAGGAGCTAAAAACTTCCCTAAACTGGGGAAGGAAACAGGAGGCAGAGAGATTCCCTCAACAAAATCAACCAAAGTAGGTTCACACCAAGACATATAGTAATCAAAATGGCATAAAGTAATGATAAAAAAATTGCAAAAACATCAAGAGAAAACACAGTTACATACAAGAGAAACCCTGTAAGTCTATCAGATTTTTCAGCAAAAACTTTGTAGGCTGGAAGGGAGTGGCATGATTCCATGCCATATTCCATGTGCCAAAATGGAAAAATGAACAGCCAAGAATACTCTTTCCAGCAAGGCTGTCATTCAGAATAGAAGGAGAGATCATTTCTTAGACAAAGAAAAACTAAAGGAGGTCATGACCACTAAACCAGCCCTACAAGAAATATTAATGGGGACCCTTGAATGGAAAGGAAAGACCATAAGTGAGAATATGAAAAGTAGGAAACACAAGAACAGTAAAAATAAGTATTTCCGTAAAAAACCAGTCAAGGCATTCATAAAAGGATGTAAAATATGACACCATATACTTAAAATGGGAAAAAAGAAGTAAAAAATGGGTTTGAACTTAAGTGACAGTCAACTTATTGTAGATTGCTATGTGCAAAAGATGTTATATGCTACCCTAATGGTAACCACAAATTAAAAACCACTAACAGATATGCAAAGAATAAAGAGAAAGAATTCCAAGTGTATAACTAAGAAAACCAGCAAATCATGCAAGAGAGAAAGAGAAGAAAGGATCAGAGAAAAACTACAAAACAACCAGTAACAAAAAGTCACACATATCTATCAATAATTACTTTGAGTGTAAATGGACTAAATGCTCCAGTCAAAAGACATAGAGTAACAGAGTGGATTAAAAAAAAAAAAAAGACCCTTCTATATGCTCCCTACACAGGACCCATTTCATATCTAAAGAAACCTGAAAATTGAAAGTGAGGGGCTAGAAAAACATTATGGAAATGAATGTCCAAAGAAAGCCAGAGTAGCAATACTTAATATTGGACAAAATAAACTTTTTTTATGTTTTAAAAATTTTTTAATTTATTCAAATGCTAGCATAGTTAACATACAGTGTCATATTAATTTTAGGTGTACAGTATAGTGATCAGAATTTCAAGGGGTTCCTAGGTGGCTCGCTCAGTTAAGCAGCTGCCTTTGGCTCAGGTCATGATCCTGGGGTCCTGGGATCGAGCCCCACATGGGGCTCCCTGCTTAGCAGGGAGCTTGCCTCTCCCTCTGCAGCTCCCCCTGCTTATGCATGCTCTTGCTGTCTCTCTCTATCTCTCATTCTCTGCCAAATAAATAAAATCCTAAAAAAAAAAAGTTCTGTACATTACTCAGTGTTCATGATGTTAAGTAAACTCTTAATCACCTTTACCTATTTTACCCTTCTCCCTGACCACCCTCCTCTAGTAACCTTCTGTTTGTTCTCTATTGTTAAAAGTCTGACTCTTGGTTTCTCTTTTTTTTTCCTTTGTTCATTTGTTTCTTTTAAAAAAATTTTTTTTTAATTTGAATTTTAAGTAGTTAACATACAGTTCAATATTGGTTTCTAGAGTAGTACTCAGTGATTCATCACTTATATACAACACACAGTGCTCATCATAACAAGTGCCCTCCTCAATACCCATCATCCCTCTAGCCCATCGCCCACCCTCAGTTTGTTCTCTGTCATTAAGAGTCTCTTATGGTTTGTTACATATATTGGGCAAAATAAACTTTAAAACAAAGAGTGTAACTAGAGACAAAGAAGGACAGTATATAATAATAAATGGGACAATCTAACAGCATAATATAACAATTATAGGTATTTATGTACCCAACATGGGATCACCCAGATATGTAAAACAGTTAATAACAAACACAAACTAATTGATAGTAATACAATAATAGTAGGGGACTTTAACACCCCACTTACATCGACTAATAGGTCATCCAAACAAAAAATCAAAAGGAAGCAATGGCTTTGAATGACACACACTGGACTAGATTTCACAGATATATTCAAAATATTCCATAATAAAACAGAATATACATTCATTTCAAGTGCACATGGAACATTTTCCAGTATAGATCACATATTAGGCCAAAACAAAAACAAAAACAAGCCCCAACGATTTCAAAGAGATCTAAGTCATACCATGCATCTTTTCTGATTGCAATGCTGTGAAACTAGAAATCAACCACAAGAAAAAAGCTGAAAAGAACACAAATACATAGAGGTTAAATAACATGCTAGTAAACAATGAATGGGTCAACCAAGAAATCAAAGAGAAAGTAAAAAAAATCAAAACAAATGA